CTGTTGTCTCTAGATTTTTTAATGATCGCCATTCTAACTGGCGTGAGATGGTATCTCAATGTAGTTTTGATTTGCATTTCTCTGATGACCAGTGATGATGAGCATTTTTTCATATGTTTTTTGGCCTCATGTATGTCTTCTTTTGTAAAGTGTCTGTTCATATCCTTTGCCCACTTTTGAATGGGCTTGTTATTTTCCTGTAAATCTGTTTTAGTTCTTTGTAGATTCTGGATATCAGCTCTTTGTCAGATGGGTAAACTGAAATGGGAGTTTTACTATGTTGGTCAGGCTGGTCTCGAACTCCTGACCTTGTGATCTGCCTGCCCCGGCCTCCCAGAGTGCTGGGATTACAGGCTTGAGCTACTGCACCTAGCCCCCCAGACTTTTAAGACATTAAAAAATGGAGTGGGCTGGGTGTGGTGGCTCACACCTCTAATCCCAGCACTTTGGGAGGCTGAGGTGGGTGGATCACCTGATGTGAGGAGTTCAAGACCAGCCTGGCCAACATGGCAAAACCTCGTCTCTATTAAAAAATACAAAAATTAGCCAGGTGTGGTGGCGGGTACCTATAATCCCATCTACTTGGGAGGCTGAGGCAGGAGAAGTGCTTGAACCCGGGAGGTGGAGGTTGTAGTGAGCAGAGATCATGCCACTGCACTCCAGCCTGGGTAACAGAGTGAGACTCTGTGCATGGCTCTGTGGCTCACACCTGTATTCCCAGCACTTTGGGAGGCTGAGGCAGGCGGATCGCTTGAGCTCAGGAGTTCTAGACTAGGCTGGGCAACATGTTAAAACACTCTACAAAAAATATAAAAACTAGCCAGGTGGCTGGGTGTGGTGGGTCACACCTGTAATCTTAGCATTTTGGGAGGCCAGGGCGGGCAGATCACCTGAGGTCAGGAGTTCGAGACCAGTCTGGCCAACATGGTGAAACCCCATCTGTACTAAAAATACAGAAACTTAGCCAGGTGCAGTGGCATGCTTCTGTAATCTCAGCTATTAGGGAGGCTGAGGTAGGAGAATGGCTTGAAACTGGAAGGCAGACGTTGCAGTGAGCCGAAATTGCACCACTGCACTCCAGCCTGTGCGACAGAGCAGGACCTCATTTCAAGACAAAAATAAACAAAAATTAGACATGGTGGCACATGCCTGTAGTCCCAGCCTGGGTGACGCAGTGAGACCCTCTATCAAAAAAAAAAAAAAATACAGTCTATAAAACACTTATTTCTCTAGACTCTAGCAGTATAATTATTGCAAATATGAAATATATGTTCTCATTCATAGAATATTTCCTGTTTAGAGTTTTAGGACAAAGTTTGTAATGTTAAAGCCATTTCTCACTTTTAAAAAAATTGTTATATGCTGTGGATCAGGTTACTAAAATGGAAACATTTCTTAATAAAATTATATACAGATTTCAGAGATTAACATGTTATTCTTAGTAATTAGCATTGAATGTTATTCATTGTAGATTAAACAATCTCACTTTATGTTCAAGTTATAGCCTTAGAGGCTGATATTCTGTAATAGTTCTTTTGGGAAGAAAATAACTTTTGTGTTTTTTGTAAATAGGATGCAGGACAAAAAAGATTTGGAGCAGTTTCTTGTAATGTTTGTGGAATGCTGTATACAGCTTCAAATCCAGAAGATGAAACACAGCATCTGCTTTTCCACAACCAGTTTATAAGTGCTGTAAAATATGTGGTAAGTGGAATTTGTGAATTCTAAAATGCAAAAGTCAGATAAGGCTGGTCTCTAAATGAGATGAACTGCCAAATTTAAATCACTGAAAAATTTATGTTTTTAAGAGATAATAATATGTACAAAGCACATGTAGTATGTATACTGGCTTTTTAAAAACAAAGCCAAACAAAAACGGCTAATATATTCTGACTGGTTGTGGGATTTTTAATTTAAATTTTACTATTCTAAAGTAGTGATTGTACTTGACAGAAGTAATGCTATTTAACTTGTATTTTTTTTTAAATTTCATTTGATAAGATAATATTTACTACTGATATATCTATTTAATATTTATATTTCTTGGCACAATTTTATATTTGGGGATTGATTGTGATAGATATTACACCAATTAGGTTGTTTGGGGATTTCTGTTACCTTCTCTTTGTTACCATGAGGGTTTTTGTTTGTAAGACTGAAAAAGAAAAATTCTGGAAAATTAAGACCTCAGAATTTGTAGTATACTAAAAAAAAGAAAAAAATTCCCACAGAATAAATCTGTTTTAGTACAAAATTTATTTTTTAATGTAAGTGCATTTTAGGCATAATGGATATTATTTAATATTTGTGGAAATAGCAAAAATTTTTAGAAATTTTGAACCATTTCAGATATCTTGTGAAAATAGTAATTTAATTGAATTGCTGTTTACCCATATCTGAAATGGAATCTCTTTTTTATTGTATACATGTTACCTTCAGTACTGTACACTCACATTAATAAGACCTCCAGGATATCTGAACTGAGATCACCAATTCATTTCATATAAGCCTTTATATAGGTACCAGATACTGGATTATTTAAAGGTCTTTATTGGCCTCCATTAAATTCATATGCTTGTATTAATAGTTACCTTTGATTGAGGGATTTGTATTCATTGTTTCATTCATCCAGCTACTTCTACCCAGGATAGGGTGAGTTTTTACTTGTTTGGTTCTCTACCTGTGGTCATCCTTTACATTTCTTATTTCATCTCACTTTTCCACATACTCCCTGCTACCACTTCACCAAATGTAAGGTGAGTGGACATAGAATTATCTATAGCTAGATATGGTTTTATCATTTGAAATTTGTACATTTTCATTTTGACTATGTTAATATCCTTGCATTCTGAAAAGAAAAATAGTCTTATCAGGCTGCTAAATTATAGAATACTTCTAGGTCAAAAATAGTTCAGTATGTTTTATATACGAACCTGGTAGAGGAAGTTACTTCAAGTAAACTCTACTCAGTAGTATACATTATTTGATTCCAGTGATCATTTAGTTTCCTAAAATTATAAAAAGATTCGGTTTCAAAGTCTTAATTCTTCACTTTAAGGAAAATTCTTAATTTCTGAGAGAAAGAGTAAATGAATCAATCAGGAAATAGGTACTCTGCTTTTCCAAGGTGCCAAGGGAAGTTGATTTATGGAACAAGGTGAAGTCATCTTCCAAACAAATTCTGGCTCTCTTGCAAAGCTGCAAAGCAATGTAGCAAACTAGGGAAGATTGTTTCCTGCCCCAGCCAACCCCTCCTCCAACACCCTGTGATGGGACAGAGCCATGGGTTTTTTTTGTTTTGTTTTGTTTTGTTTTGTTTTCATTTTTGAAAGAAGCTCAAGAGAAGGAATTGAGTTTAGCAGTTGGCCATCCTTTGGTGTTATCACGGTCAATATTCTTATCTTTTGCTGTTTTCAAATGTAGGTATAAATATAGTCTAAGGAAGAGACTCTTCCAAATATTGTGGTATTTATTCTATAGTATATAGAGAGAAGAAGAAAATGTACCTGTCTTAAAGTTGTTCTGCTGTGATCACAGTTCTAGATTTTGGGTTGTGACATTAAAACATTTATTTGGCTTTCCATTTTATATCTTTTTTTTTTTTTTTTTTTGAGACAGAGTCTTGTTCTGTTGCCCAGGGTGGAGTGCAATGGTGCGATCTCGTCTCACTGCAACCTCTGCCTCCCAAGTTCAAGCGATTCTCCTGCCTCAGCCTCCCGAGTAGCTGGGATTACAGGTGTCTGCCACCACGCCCGGCTAATTTTTGTGTTTTTATTAGAGATTGGGTTTCATCATGTTGGCCAGGCTGGTCTCGATCTCTTGACCTTGTAATCCACCTGCCTTGGCCTCCCAAAGTGTGGAGATTGCAGGGGTGAGCCACCTCACCTGACCCCATTTTATATCTTTCATAGACATTAAGTACTCATAAATGCTTGACAAAATATCTAATTTTATTTAATGCCAATTTTATCCGTCTCTTGGTGAGAAGTATATAGAAGAAGTTATTTGGTGTTCTGGCATTAATTTATGTTAAATGGACAATATCAGGAACTGGAAATAAAGTTTTGTTCTACTTAAGACTAAAAATAGAATAAATTAGAAAAAAATTGTTTTACTTAAAATTTTTTTTTTTTTTTTTGAGTTGGAGTCTCGCTCTGTCACCCAGGCTGGAGTGCAGTGGTGTGATCTCAGCTCATGGGTTCAAGCAGTTCTCCTGTGTCAGCCTCCTGAGTGGGGCTACAGGTGCATGCCACCACACCCAGCTAATTTTTGTATTTTTAGTAGCAATGGCATTTCACCATATTGGTCAGGCTGATCTCGAACTCCTGATTTCAGGTGATCCACCCGCCTCGGCCTCCCGGAATGTTGGGATTACAGGCATGGATCACTGCACTTGGCCAAAATTTTAATCAAACATTCTGTAGAAAATAAATATCCTTTTCTTTGGGTAAAATTTTTTTCCAGGCAGATTAATAATCCAATAACAATTGGAAATGGCTAAAAGTCCTACTTTCAAAAGATTAAAATAATATTTAAATTATATAGTCATAGTGAAAATTGATAACCATAGGTCCTATTTTTGTTTGAGTAAAATACTTGCTTTTTCTTTTCCTTACCTCTTATGTTCTCTTTGGTTTGTGGAAGGGAAGAGTAGGTAGATAATTTTTTCTTACTGTATTCTTTCATTTTACCCCATCTGGTTGGCTGACATCATTTCGGGAAATGAATTTTATCTGACTTATTAGAAGCTAGGAAGCAGCGGAGGCAACATGTGAAACCTCATCTGTACAAAAAAAAAGTTAGCTGGGCATGGTGGCTTGCACCTATAGTCCCAGCTTCTTCTGGGGCTGAAGTGGGAGGATCGCTTGAGCCCAGGAGGTTGAGGCTGCAGTGAGTCAAGATTGCACCACTGCAATACAGCCTGGTTAACAGAACAGGAACCTGTATCAAAAACAAAAACAAAAGCAAAAACCCAAAATTACTCCGGTTTCCTTCCAGGACTAAGGTACTGTTCCCTAAAGGTGTGAAGGGAAAGTAGTTTTCTCCCCTGGTGTATTGAGCCATGTTGCCAGACCAGGAAACTGGCAGAAACCTATCAGGAAGCTCAGCTATATTTTGAGCTTTTAGTAATGCTGAAGAACAATGTGTGGGATCTTGGCAGAGAAAAACTTAATCCCTTTTTTCTGTATTATTCTTAACTCCTTTGAATTAATTCACATCTGAGTGAGTGCTGTGTGGAGAACACTGTTCCTCAGGGCTATGTAATATGCCCTTTCCTTCAAGTTTAGGAGCAAAGTCTGAAATAAATGAAAAGTTAACAGTAAAAGATTTAAGTAACCATTAAAGCAATAAATCAATATGAAATATTTAAATAAATCATAAATTAGCTTTGCAACTTAGAAGTGATCAGAATGATTTGTTTTCATAGGCAGGTAGGAGTTAAGATTTGATTTTTAAAATGAACATAGAAAGTCATCTGTGATTGCTAATAGTAAAACTAAAGCAAGAGAAAGCTTAACATTTTCGTGAGGAATGATGAGTAGATCTTTTTTACTGACTCAGGATTTTTGTGAATAACGAGACTAGAAAAATACAGCGCAATCAAGTCAAATTGTGATACTTTGATTTTGAATGCTATATGGACTTTATTCTTTCTGTTCTTATAAGTTTTGAAGACTCTTGAATGTTGTGAATGATATAAATTTAAATAACATTAAAACAGTATTTTGGTTAAGTGTAGGGAGAGAAATAATATTTTAATGGCATGTATAGAGAGTAGCGCACATATTAGATGTGTATAGTGCTGAATTGCTATGACATTGGTAGAAATAGGGAAGAATATTGATGATGGGAAACTTTGAAGAAAGAGTTGACAGATCTCTGATTGGCTACAGAGCTGTGCTATGCTGTGAAGTAGCCTCTAGGCTACAGGAAATTAAAAATGCTGCACTTCATTCATTCTATCCAGTGCTTACAAGCCACATGTTGCTAGAGGCTACTGTTTTAGGTGGTGTAGATACAGAATGTTTGTATCATCTCACACAGAGTTCTCTTGGATAGTGCTGCTACAGAAAACTGAAGAAAGAAGTTACATGTGATTAAATTTTTGATTTGGGGAAACCATGATCCAGTAACTCTTGCTTAACCTCTAATTTTTTTTTTTTTTTTTTTTTTTTTTTTTTTTTTTTTTTTTTTTTTTTTTTTTT